TGAGCTTGGGTGAGGCCTCACACTGGGCCAAGGATCAGGGCCCCACGTTACTGGCCGGGCTCCTTGGGAAACTCGCCCCAGTCACCCTCCCCAAACGCCCAGTCCTGACAGGCCCACCCACACTCATCAGACCCGTCTGCCGCCTACCCGTTCACCCATCTCCCTTCATTCCCCTTCATGTGGCCCTCCCAGGATGGGAGGCTCCTTCCCGAGGTGTGGCAGCCTGACAGCCCACTGCGGGGGGGTGGCGGGGAGTGGCACCTCCAGGTAGGTGCTGTCACATGCCCAGGGCCCACCTTCGGCACAGCGTGGTCTCTCGTGGTGTCACTGGTGGGATAGCACTTGGAATCGTGTCACCGCCGATGAACTGGCTTTGTCCTTCCTCACCCCGCAGAAGGACATGGCCCTGAAGCCACACGAGCGGAAGGAGAAGTGGGAACGTCGCCTTGTCAAGAAGCCCCGTGAGTCAGAAAACTGCCCGTCTGCAGAGCCTGGTGAGAACGGGCGGCCCCCGGAGGCAGGCAGCTCCGAGCAGGACCTGGAGCCCACCTGCGACCGAGGGGAGGAGAAGGCCCCGCTGCAGCCCACCCGGCAGGTGAGCTGGGCCCTCCCACTCTGGGCCAGGGGCTCGCGGGTGGCCTGGGGGCCACAGCAGCACCTGGACACCGCCCATCGGCATCTGGGCCTGCCTGGCAACGTGCTCCATCGTTGTCGGGCGTGGGATTAGGGGCACACGTGGATTGGGGCCGGGGGCAGCCGCCTGCCGGCAGTCTGAGGGTTCCGAGTGGAGGCAGGAGACCCCCCGGGGTGGGGGGGGTGGGTCACAGCCAGAGAAAGGCAAACCAGGCCAGGAAACCAGGAGCTGGGGGCAGGGGGTGCTTGGCTCAGGCGGGACTGGAGGGTGCACCCGCTGATAGGCTGGCCCCGTTTCCCCATTGCGTCTGTCAGGCTCCGCCGACTGTGGGGTGTCCAGCGTGTCTGTAACGCGTGGGGACCAGGCTCATTGCTGGGTGCTCTCCATGTGCTAAACTTACGCGAAACGCAGTGGGTCTGCGAGACAGGGAGGGAGTCACGTCAGTTGTGGTTGGTGGACCAGGTGCAAGGAGCAGCCCCGCTGGGAGGGGCCCTCCTTGCTGTCACCCAGAGCCCAGCTGGCATGGGGCAGGGAGACTGGGGCCAGGGGCTTTCTCCCAGGGTACAGGGTTCTGTCCTAGGTGTTGGCTCAGCACTACAGCTGTTTTCCTCTCCAGGGACTCACTGGTTTGCGCCTTCTTTTCAGAGAGGGGTTCTTCTTGGTGTTTCACACTCCACTTTCAACTCCCTTGGGGATTGGAATGCTGGTGAGGGGGCAGCATGTCTCAGGGGCCTGGGCTGGATGGGGGGTCTACAGGCACACCTGCCCAGGTGGACACGTGCTCTTTCTTCCATGCAGGTGTGCTCCCCAGAAGGGGGGCCGCTCCCAGCCAACCACTGGGACCAGAACGGCCCGGCCCAGCGCCAGCAGCAGCTCCAGCCCAGCCAGCCCCAGGGGTCACTCCCAGCCCCGTGTCAGCGCTGCCAGCCCCGTCGGGCTCTCCCGGACCCTGGGCAGCCCTTCCAGCCCCAGCGGCCACTGCCGGGTCAGCGCAGCTGGCCCCAGCGGTCACTTCTGGGCCCAAGACAGCCCAGCCAGCCCCGGCGGTCACTTCTGGGTCCAGGTCAGCCCTGCCGGCCCCAGCAGCTGCTTCCAGCCCCAGATCAGCCCTGCCGGCCCCAGCGGTCACTCCCGGCTCAGCCCCGCCAGCCGCGTTGGGCCCTCCTAGCCCCCAGGCAGCGCTGCCGGCGCCTGCGCTCCCTCCTGGCCCCGTGGCAGCGCTGCCGGCCCCTGCGCTCCCTCCTGGCCCCGTGTCACCTCTGTCGACCCCTGCGTTCCATCCTGGCCCCGTGGCACCGCTGCCGGCCCCTGCGGTCTGTTCTGGCCCCGTGCCACCTCTGTCGGTCCCTGCTGGCCCTCTGGCACCGCTGCTGGCCCACGCGGTCGTGGATGGGCCCGTGTCTCCGTGGCCAGCCCAGCAGGGCATCCTCAGGACAGCGGTGCCGGCCCCCACAGTCACTCCTCGTGCTGCGCCCACGTCGCCGGCCTGCCAGCTCACTCTCGGGCCAGTGCTGCTGCCCCCGGCGGCTGTCCCTAGCCCCATGCCAGCCCCGAAGGTCCCTCTTGGGCCAGCCCAGCCGCCCCCGGCGGTCCCTCCTGGGCCTCAGTCAGCCTCAGCAATTAGTCGAAACCCCAGAGCAGCCTGGCCCCCCCAAGCCTTCACTGCTGGGCCCTGGACAGCCGTGCCAACAAAAGCGGCCACTCATGGACCCAGAACAGCCTCACCCGCCCAAGCGGCCACTCTTGGGCCCAGAAGAGCCGTGCCGACGAAAGCGGCCACTTCTGGGCCCAAAACAGCCCTGCCAGCCCCTGCGGTCACTTCTGGGTCCGAGCCAGCCCTGCCAGCCCCAGCCGTTACTCCCCATACCTGAGCGTCCGTCACTCCTGGGCCGGCCAGCCCCACCCCGCCGGCCTCTCCTGGGGCCCCCGAGCCAACCACGGCAGTCCCTGCTGGACCTGGTCCGCGCCCATCAGCCCCAGCTCTCCCTCCTGGCCCCAGGCCAACCCTGCCGACCCCTGAGGTCACGACGGACTCGATCCTCCACCCCTGCAGTGGCCCGCCAGGCCCCATCTGTGAGCCCTGGAGCCTGACGCCCATTTTCCCAGATCACCCCAGGTGTGGCTGTGCTGGGCCGGGCCAAGGCCCCCTCAGCCTGTGGCCTGAGATGTGTTGTCAGACTGGCCGGAGGCCTTCTCCGGACAGGCCGGGCCGTTTGCGGCTGGAGGCTGAGGCTCAGCAGAGACGGGAGCCCCTGCAGGGCCACCACCGAGCCGAGGCCCCCCACGCCGGGAAGAGAGGAGAGGACCACAGCGCCTTCCCACCTCCCGCCAGGCTGGCCCCTGCCGTGCCCGCTGCTCTGTGATGTGCACGCGCCCGGGAGAGAGCACACAGCCACCCCCAAGGGCTCAGGCTTGTGGGGTGGGGGGTCCTTTAGCATCTCTCTGTGCCTCTAAAGTGCCCACGTGTCCTTGAATGTTGGACTTGCGTGCCCGGGTGTGCTGCCCAGCCAGTGTGTGAGTTTGTGTGTGCATATACACGGCGTGTGGTCTGCAAGTGTCTGCCTGTGCGTGGAGTGTGTGCGTGTGTGATTTTGGGGGGCGTGCCAGCTGTAGGCCTTGCCCTCCTTGGGCCCCACCCCATCTGGCCAGTGTGCATTCCCGTCCCCCACCAGGCAGAATGTGGGCACAGCCAGAGCCAGGCCTGAGGTCCTGCTGCTTCCCTCTGCAAAGGGTGATGTTTGCCCAGCTCTAGAGTCCTGTGTCTGTGGAGAGGGGACACGAGGGATGCTCAGGGCTGTCTGTGGTTGAGCATCAACTGCTGGTGAGACAAGAGGCTCCCCCTCAGGACTCTTCTGCCACCCCAGTGACTGAGCACTGAAGCCGGGGGCAGTCTCCTGTCCACCCCCCCAGCTTTGGACCAAGAAAGCCTGCAGGGCCTGAGGCCATTCCCAGAATGTCCCCTCCCAGCATCCCACTCGTCCCCTACAGCTTTCCGGCTCTGGGCCCCCTAGGATGTACCCGGTCAGGACAGACCTCACACTACAAACCTTTTTCTGCTTCCCCCCACTCCCACCCAACCCGCACCTGCGCTCAAGGGTCACCACCCCTTGCCCCTGACCTCTGGCTCAGGGCAGCCCTGCACTAGTGCTCCTGGAGTCCTGGGCACAAGGTTGGAGAGCAGCGTCGGCCACCAGGGGTGCCCTGGCCAGGCTCCCACGCAGTGCTCTGTGCGCCCAGTCTCACCTGGCTGTGACAGCCACCTCTAATACCGACCCGGCTCATGGAGGCCATGGAGGTGCCCCCCGGTTTCCAGACCCGAGCCTTCCTCCCTGCTTGGTCGTGAGGACCCTGGCCCTCCGGGGGTCCTGACACCCAGAGCAGAGCCTACAGATACCTGGTCTCCCTCCCAGAAACATGGGGCTTATTTTTCTGATTAAAGAAAATAAAAAGTGCTGTGCCATTATTTTTATAACAGCATCAGTGTTTGTAATTTAACAAAGTATGTGTCGTACTGGAAGTGCTTTACTCTGACAAGTGGTTTTCTGCACATCTGGACTTGCCTGTCGTTCATTCCATTCCGGCTGAGCTGCAGGAGAGGAGCCAGGGGAGGGGGTGCCTGGCCTGGACCTGGCTCACTGCGTCACATGGTGTGGGCTTGGGGGGACTCAGCTCGCCATAATCACGCTCCAGGCCTCCCTGGCAGCCTCCTTGATGGACCAGCTCCACCTGTCCTGTTTCGGAGCCCCGGCTCTGGAAGGGGTCTTTTTCTAGATGCCACTGAAGGCGCTTCTGAGGTCTTGTTGACCCTTCACGTTCGTTCCCACTGTTCCCTGTCGTCATGCACTGAGGGTGGCAAGGCTTCAGGCCACCCCCTCCCTCCCAGTGCCCTGAACTCCCAACCCAAGGGGCAGCGTGAGCATCTCTGCACCGCCCACGCCCCCGGCCCCGTGCTCTTGTCTGGGCGTGGCAAGGGCAGGCCAGGACTGGACGGGTGCAGCTGCTGCCTTTCTAGGCCTTTCTGCTCTGGGCATGTTGGCTGCAGTGCTTGGGTGCCACTTAGTGGGGGAGACAGGACTCTCGGGGCACCATCTCTGATGGCAAAAGCGGGGTGGGGAAGAGGGCTGAGCCCACAGGGACACCACGGCTGGGGCCGCCCTCCTTCCCCTCCAGAAGGGCCCCGGCCGTGGGGGAGCTCCAAGGTGATTGGGGTGGGGCTGTTCCCTGTGTGATCGCTGCTGAGGAAGGCGCTTGGCTTGTGCCTGAACCTGCAGGGGCCCTCTAACCCCTACGGGGCTCCGCATGGCTGCGGCTGGCCTCAGGTTCAAAGTGCTGGGACCCTGAGGGACGTGCACTTTGGCAAGGCACCCGCTGGCCATGGAGGGGACTGGGCTGCGTGTGTCGTGTCCTGGGGGACCCGTGTTGCCATGAGAAAATATAGGTCCAGTGTGGCCAGGTCTTTGTTTCTGCGAACAACTGGAAACCTGGGTTTTTCTGTGGATTCAGTGATTTTTGAAACTTTGGTGGCTAATTCTAATTTGATGACTCACCTTGTTGGCCAAAGGACACAGCTGTGTGGGCTCTGCATGGCCTGGTGGCAGAGTTTGGGGCCCTGGCAGTTGACCTGGCCCCGAGGTCAGGGTTGTGGGGTGTGGCCCACCCCGTCATAGGGAGAGTAGGGCAGCCCAGCCTGGTGGGTGGGGCTGGAGTGAGTCTTTGGGGGTGTCGTGGGGTTCTGGGGGAGGCCCCATGCTGCCCCAGGGAGCCCTCGGACGGAGACCAGAGCCTGGGCGCCGTGCTCTACTGGGACCTCACCTCCGGCCCTGCAGCCCACCTCCCCTTCTACAGACTGGGCCGTGGGGAGGGGACAGGCACCTTCTGGGCAGGAGCCCCTACTCGGCGCCTGGCCCCTGTTAAACCTGTGATGGGCAAGGGCAGTGGTGGTTGTGATTTGCTGCCAGGTT